ACCACTCCAGGCCTCTGGGCAGCATGCAAAGGTGGTGCCAGCAGCCCGGGGAAGGAAGGCCTCTTCTTGCACGAATCTTCATGCATTGGGCCTCTAGTAATAATAATAATCCTATATAATAAAAAGCTAATATGCAAATGGTCATCACGCCCTTGTGCCCTTGTGCCCCCTGCCCCAGCACTGGGGCCGGGGGACCTGAGGCTGGGCCCAGAGGACCTGAGGCTGCACCCCCTGCCCAGGTGCCAGGGCACCAGAGGCCGCGTCCCCTGCCCCGGTGCCTGGGCCGGGGGACCTGAGGCTGTGCCCCCCTGCCTGGCGGGGCTTGACGGGGGACCTGAGGCCGGTGCCCCCTGCCCTGCGGGGCTTGACGGGTGGGGCTGGCCAGGTCTGGGTTTTGGGCGATTTCGAAGCGCATGCGGGTGGGCAGGGTCTTGACTCTGGGTCTCGCGGCACACCCCAGACTCTGACAGGAGGGAGATTTTCATATACATTTTACTAATTTTCTTTAATCTCTGATACTGCTATTATAGAGAAAGGGCAAATAGCAATATTAAAATATTTCCCCTAATTAATCCCCTTTTAATGTGCACGAATTTCGTGCACCAGGCCACTAGTAATAATGATAATTTTTAAAAAGCAGCTATAGACAATATGTAAGTAAATGGGCATGGCTATGTTTCAATAAAACTTTATTTACAAAAATAGGTGGCAGGCCATATTTGCCCTGGGTTCAGACGCCTGCTTTAGATGCTTATGTCATACCTGAATAGAGACTTTGGATTTTGGTTTAGTTTTAAATTAAGAAATATGATATTATAATAAATAGTAACTTCACTTCCTAATTATTATGTCTTAACATGTTACTCTCAGTTATAAAGGTCATGCGTTAGATTAGAATATCAAAGGGATTTTGAAAATAAGCAGTAGTAGTGTTTTCTATCACAAAGGGATATACATAAGCCATTTATTTAATGGTTTGGAGGATTTTCTTGGAATGTATGTTCTGAGATTTGGGCAGGATGTCAATGGTTTGCTTTATTAAGTGAACACAAATACAGACTTTTTTTATTTTTGTTTTTGAAAATTCTGTATAGGAAAAGTTTAGGAGTCAAATAAAAAGCTATTTGTAATTATCTTTGTCATTACACTGAGTTTTTCTGCTAAGAATGTTGTTTGCATGGGTTTGGATTTTTTTATGGCTTATTTTTTTAGTTTAATAATGTGCTCTTGTTTTTAAATTAAACTTTTCAGTGAGCCTTTTTGTGAGTGACTGGCTGTGTTGGTTTGTTCATATTTATAGCTCACGTCTGTTTCTGAGGAAATGACTAAAGTCTCTTGCATTTGGTCAAAACTGTATAACAAAGGGAATCTTTGACAGACTTACACAAGGTTCATGATGGAAACTCAAAAAATCCAGTGGTTTATGTTTATAAATGTTTTTATGTATTCAGTCCTGGTTGAATCGAATAATCGAAGCTCTGTGTGGAGGGAGGGATGAATATACTCAGTGCCTCTTAATTCAGAGAATTCTTCTGGGGCAAGTTCAGGCAATGCTTTCTTAGAATTTTCTTTTAAAAAATTGTTTTCTAATTTTATATGTTTTTAAATTTGGTCTTACAGAACATAGGTATACCTTTTTCTTCTCTTTAAACGGTTCCACTGACTTTCTCTTCCTCATTCCTAAAAGGCCTGGACATATGTGAAGTTTGTAAGCTTTGCACATGTAATTTCTAGCAAGGAGGCTGGTGAGGTTTGGGGCAGGGTCTGGGGTAGTGATTGACTCACAGAAACCCACTGTGTCTTACTCCCTGCTGGAGCCCCCATCTCCCCCACTCTGGAATATCCACAGGCCCTCTCCACCCTCTTCTCACCCCCTTACTGTTGGTTTAGTCCTCATGGAAGTATAAGTGTTTGTTCCAGGGCAGAAGACAAAGGCACTGGGTAAGAAGGAAGAGAAGGCCTGGCTCCTGCCTGCTTGGACCCAGGATGACCTGTGTTCTGGGACCCAACTTAGAATTCACATTTTTCCAAAAAGACTCTGTTAGGGAGGGTGGTTGGATTTTGGTGTGATTACTGTGCTCGATCAGCTGTGTTGTGCTATGAACTCACTGGGATTTTTCTGCACTAGCTTTAATCATCATTTAGTTTCAACCCTTTTATAAGCAGCTCAAGGAACCTCTTCTCCGAGTAAGTTTTGGATCAAATTATAAGAGAAATAATAATGTGCTCAGCCCACTACTACACATCCACTCACTCTCCTGCCTCCATTCTCAGAAGCACCCATGGGAGAGAGTTCCTAGACATGCACTTTGAAAACTGCTGATTAATATAACTGCTTTTGGAGCACACACTAATCTTAGAGTCGGGCTTGCTATGTATGCATCATTAAGTGCTTAAAATTTACCTAGATTGTGAGTATGTGAAACAGCTCTTGTATTATTTATTACTAGAGGCCCAGTGCACAAAAATTTGTGCACTCAGGGAGGGGTCCCTCAGCCCGGCCTGTGCCCTCTCGAAGTCTGGGACCCCTCAGGGGATGACCACCTGCTGGCTTAGGCCCGCTCCCTGGGGGATTGGGCCTAAGCTGGCAGTCAGACATCCCTCTGGCAGCCCGGCAGGCCTTGGGGGATGTCCACTTGCCAGCAGGGAGCAGGCCTAAGCTGCAGTCGGACATCCTTAGTGCTGCTGAGGAGGCGGGAGAGGCTCCCACCACCACCGCTGTACTGGCAGCCATCAGCCTGGCTTGTGGCTGAGCAGAGCTCCTCCTGTGGGAGTGCACTGACCACCAGGGGGCAGCTCTTGCATTGAGTGTCTGCCCCCTGGTGGTCAGTGTGTGTCATAGTGACCAGTCATTCCCAGTCCTTCTGCTGTTAGGGTCAATTTGCATATTACCCTTTTATTATATAGGTTAGAGGCCTGATGCATGGGTGGGGGCCGGCTGGTTTACCCTGAAGGGTGTCCTGGATCAGGGTGGGGGTCCCGCTGGGGTGCCTGGCCAGCCTGGGTGAGGGGCTGAGGGCCATTTTCAGGCTGGCCACACCCCCTTCAGGGAGAGGGGTCCTGCTGGGATGCCTGGCCAGCCTGGGTGAGTGGCTGATGGCTGTTTGCAGACTGGCCACAGCCCCTTCAGGGTGGGGGTCCCCGCTGGGGTGCCTGGCCAGTCTGGGTGAGGGGTTGATGGCTGTTTGCAGGCTGGCCAAGCCTCCCAGCGGGGACCCTCACCCCATGAGGGTGTGGCCATCCTGGGTGAGTGGCTGATGGCTGTTTGTAGGCTGGCCAAGCCCCCCAGCAGGGACCCTCATCCCATGAAGGTGTGGCCAGCCTGGGTGAGGGGCTGATGGCTATTTGCAGGCTGGCCACAGTCCCTTCAGGGTGGAGGTCCCTGCTGGGGTGCCTGCCCAGCCTGGGTGAGGGGCTGATGGCTGTTTGCAGGCTGGCCAAGCCCCCCAGCGGGGACCCTCACCCCATGAGGATGTGGCCATCCTGGGTGAGGGGCTGATGCCTGTTTGCAGGCTGGCCACGGCCCCCACCCACCCAAGCTCCCAGTGGATGCTGGCTGGAAGCAGGTATCTGGGAATTATTTATCTTCTATAATTGAAACTTTGTTGCCTTGAGCAGAGGCCACAGCCAGCCAGGGCAGGCGGGAAGCTTGGCTTCCTCCATCACGGGGGCAACCAAGCCTCCTGCTTGCTCCAGCTCCGTGGCTGCTGGCCGCCATCTTATTTGGGTTAATTTGCATGTAGTTGCTCTGATTGGCTGGTGGGCGTGGCTTGTGCATAGTGGAGGTGCAGTCAATTTGCATGTTTCTCTTTTATTAGATTAGATTTCTTGTATTATTTATTTGTATAACAACTGTAAACCTACATTTGCCCACCCCTGTATATTGGTCATACATGAAGCCAGCTTTAGGGGAGGCCAAATGGACAGATGTGAACCTGAGTCGAGAAATTTCTTCAAGACAATCTGTATCCCCCATTTGTGCTTGAAATTCCATAGTCAGTAATGCATTTTATTTCGGTGTCAAGCACCTGCCTTCTGAAGTGCTCGCTCTCTCTCTCTCTCTCTCTCTCTCTCTCTTAATGAAAATGTCCTCAGGAAGGATATCTATCAAGTTGTTTGAACTTTGGAGCCGATCCTATTTTTCCTACTTAATGAAACATCTGGAGTCACTGACTCCTCAAAGGCACAGATAGAAGAAGGAAGCTGCTCCACTCCTACCTCACAGTTTTGTCTGGGCCTGGCCCCGACTATATATACATTTGAGATCACATGTGAGGTCATGTTTAACTTGGAGCTACTTTGCTTTCTCATGTAGATGGAGGGAATCCTGGGGTGTCTGAAGAGTGAGCACCTCAAAAGGAACTCCCATCTCCTAAACATTCCTTTATTACCTTTACTATATTTTATAACTATAATGGTGTGAATCTACATGTCCATAGGAATACTAATGGGAATTTTTTTTCTAAGTATATATTATTTAAAAGGGAATCAATCAGAAAAACAAGTCTAAAAAACAGTGTATATGTTTCTACAATATTGTCTACATATTATTCTTGTTGGACAAGAAAATAATAAATCTCTTCATTTTTTAAATCGTAAAGAGATATTGGGAAACTGTGGTTTTTTTATTTACCCAACAAACACTCATAGAGGACCTAACATGTGTCAGGCACTTTGGACTATAACATTTAATGCTGGTGGTAGCAGAAACTCAGGCTTCGAGGAGTATTTGAGGTTGTCCAGTAACAGGAAATAAGGAAGAAGAGAGGGAGGCGGTGCTGGATGGGGAGAAGGAAGGAAGGAAGAGGAGGGGACACGGAGGAGGAAAGGTGGAAAGATAAAGGGAAGGATTATCAGTTAAATCTCTTGGTCCTTAACATTTTCTTAACACGTGTGTTATCTTCTTTGCTTATACAACAACTTACCCATTAATGGATTTTTTTTTCTGGTCTGCTATAATTGGAAATTAGTGTTACTTTATCTTTTCCGTATCTTTTCAGTATTAAAGAACTTTATGGACCAGTCTGCTAATAAGTACAAGCAAGATTTGAAGAGCTGAAGGAGAAATCGGTGCTAAACCTTCCTTTTTAATGTAAGTAAACTCACTCATCACCATTGTTTGTTTCTCACATCTTTAAAGCCTGCAATTACCTTTCTGGATACTCACTGTGTAAATTTTTCCCCACTAGTAAAGTTACTTGACTATGTCAGTCTACTCATTATGCCTATGATAATTTGTGACCCACCCCGTTTAAAATTTTTTAATTCTAAAAATAATATGACTTACATAGATGGCTGTGAATTTAGGCTTGTTGTGACTGTCACTGAGCAAATCATTTTTTGTTACTGAGAAGGAAAACACAGACCTGGTAGCACATAAAAAGCACCGCCTCCTCTTCAAATCCTTTACTGTTCTTTATCTCAGACCATTTCAGTGCCCCATCAAAGTCAGTGAGAATCGGTCAACCCATTAAGGACCCTATAGGCTTAGAAAAACGAAGTGTTTTCATATAAGCTTACTTACTCCTTTCCTCCCTGTTTCTCTTGCTCAGTAATAATAGCGACAATTATTTATTGAGGTTGTACTAAGTGACAAGCCCTTGACTAATTCAGTTCAATTTTCATTCAATGACTACTTTTTCTGAGTGCTTGCCACATACCAGGTACTGCTCTGACACTATTGCCTTAGATCATCCTCCTGCCAACCTTGCAGAGTAGGAGTTAATATTTTAGTGATCTAGATGAAGATATTGAGATTCAGAGAGTAGTAAGGAGCATGCAGATGGTCACACAGCTTGTAAGTGGCAGAACCTGGGGTGTGAGCATAGCACTGTCTGACTTTCTGATTCGCCACATCCTAAATAGTGTTTAAAGCTTTTTATGTCGCATCTGTCGGTAGGAGATTGGAAATGTCTGGGTTGTATTCTTAATACGAATGTGACCCTAATCCTTCTAAACTGTGGCTGTAGTCACAACAAGGACTGGAGTTGGAGAAACATCCTCCCACCTTCGAGAGGTAGTTTTGGCACCTGGATGGGGAGTTAAGAGACCTAATGTTCAGTCCCAGCCTTTCCTTGGATTTCCTGTGTCCTTGAGACATTTAACCGCTGGGGAAACAATTACTTTCATGCCAACCAAGGAGAGCAGACCAGATGTTCCCCAGGTTCTTTTTCAATCAGCTTTTTATCAACGTATCTTTTACGTAGAGGAAAGAGCACAGATCAGAAGTGGATGGCTTGCTGGGATAATTATGACACAGTGGACACACCTGGGTAACAGCACGCCAGCCCCTCTTTCCTAATGCTCCCAGGAATAATCTACTTTCTGATTTCTAATGCCATTCATTGATTAGTTTGCCTGTTTTTAAAGTTTATGTAAATAGCATCATACAGTATGTCTTCCTTTGTGTCTGGCTTAATTTCCTTATTATGGTTGTGGAATTCATCTATGATATTACATTTTTCATTTTCCTTGCTATTATGCTACTCAATTATCCATCTCTTTTACAATTGGTGGATATTTAGGTAGTTTTCCAATTTGGATGTATTACAAATAGTGCTCCATTGAATATTTTTGTGCATAGATTTCGATGATGATTGTGTTTTGTGTGTTCAGGGACCACTCAGTCATTTAGATTCTGCGTCTCTGTGGAGTGATGCTGAAGTAGACACCTGTGAAAGCAGACAGGTTGATTTTAGCTGGCCAGGTGATTTGTCTGTTTCAACGGGATGTTCTAAGCATGCTAGTTAGGAAGAGAGAAGCATCTATTGGCTGCTTTCTGCAGGCCCCCTACTGGGGATCCAGCCAGAAACCCAGGCATGTGCCCTGACCGGAATGGGATGACACTCAACCAACTGAGCCACACCAGCCAGGGCTCAAATAGTCTTTATTCTAGGCAATTCATACTAAAAATTCTGAAAAGAACTTGGGGGTCACAACCTTACTTGGACGTGTGTGTCACGTAGGTGGTATCCTTGGTTCATTATAACTTGAGACAATGAATAAATGAATTTCTTTTCATCATGAAACTTACACAAGATTTTCCCTTCCATTTTTTTCTCCTTTAGAAATCTCTCCCTCTCCAACCAAATATCTAAGATCATCTTTACTATCGAATGGAGATGTAGTTTTGCTTTTAGAGCCATTCCCTCAAGCATACATTTCTTTTGTGCGTGAGGGTGTGGATGGAGTTTGAGGGCTGCTGAAGCTAGAAGTCTTTTCTTTTTAAAAAATTTTTATTTGCTTCAACTTTAAAAAGAATTGGTATTAGAGAGAGAGAGACAGACAGATATCCATGTGAAAGAGAAACATAATCGGCTGCTTTCCTCATGAACCCCAACCTGAGATTGGAACCTGAAACCTGGGTATGTTGTCCTGACTGGGAATGAAACCCACCATCTTTTGGTGTACAGGACGACGCTCCAGCCAACGAAGCCACACCATCCAGGGTGAAGCTAGCAGTCTTTATTCTTGGTTGCTTTGTTTTCTCCTCACCTCTTTGGAAATTGGCAGTCAGTGGCTTTGATTTTTTTCTTTTCTTCTTAATACAGACATGCAAGCATATAGCTGCAGACAGAAAGGGAATGTTTACACGTTTAGCAAAATGTGTGGGGAGGTGTTTGTATGTGGGTGTGAGCACACAGTAACTCTATAATTGAATCAGTGGTGTGTTTTTCTTTCCAAATGCATTTATACATTTAATTAGGAGGCCTTAGCATCTCTGATGGCACTTAGTTATGTAGTCTCAGCAGTTTTTTAAGAAGGAGGGAGAAGGTTCAAGGGAATTTTGACTCTCGGTGGATCTGTGGTTTAATATTATGGTATTCTTGGGAAACCAGGATGTCAATTAGCCAAGGCTCTCCATTGCTTCAGGGATGAAGAAGTGGAAGAAGGGATTTCAGTATACTTAAATCTTCATTTAGCAGCAGCTCGAGGCTTGAATCAGGGGTTCCCAGGATGTGTTCCTTGCATACCATAATGCTGTCCTCTCCTCAAAGCCCAGAGCTGGTTCAACCAAGAGGAGACTTCAATTAAGGGTGTGGTGGTTTAAGCCATTGTAGCAGGATTCATTTAGTCTTTAGGGAAAAAAAATAATATATGCTATCTCTTTAGAAAATGTGGTAGCTTTCAGAGCTTGAAATAGCCTTGACAGTTTCCTGTGACTATTACCTTGAACTGAGAGGTCTTCCCTCGCCAATGGCTGACTCCTAAGCATCGTCCAATAATTGTATTTGTCTTCTGTGTTTCAATTTGTATTTCAAAACCCAAGTTGTCATCGTACGATCAGCTTTTCTTATTTGTATGTTCGTTTTTACTTTATTCCTTTACCCTCATGGTAGTAATTATGTGCTTGGCTTTAGTTACATAGGCCATTTGACACTGTGATATTAAGAGATTTTAGAAGAAAAGGTCATCAGCTGTCTTTCTGGGCTATTCTGGGCATTTTGTACTGGATTTATTTTGGATCCAGCTTTCCTTGCCTTTGATGAGCTGTTCCTGCCCCTTGCCTTGGCCTCTCATCGTGCTTGGAAGCTTTTCAGTAGTAATTGGACGACTGCTTCGTGCAGCAAATACACAGTCTCAGCTTTGGGAGGGAGTCGAGAAGACAGATGGAACGCTCCGTGAATGCTTCTGGTTCTAGCGCGTGGGATTCCTGGAGCAGGAAGCCGGCTTCCAATACACCGCCGTCGAAGGTGTTTCCTGCTTGAGGAGGTTAGCTTTTCCACAGGGCAGCATGTTTCCGGAGGCATTCTCAGAAGCCTTGGGTGATTGGTGGGATTAAATGGTCTTGCTTAGACATCTTTAGAAATTAAAGAATGGATTATTTGCTGAGAAAAGTTGACTTTTTGGCGTCACCTTCTAAATTGGTCTTGCCTGAGGTTTGGCACAGAACACACCTTTCAGAGGCCTGCACCCAGCTTGGGTTGTTGTTGGGGGAGATAAAAACCGAATATCGAGCAGGAAATAAGTGGCCCCCAAGAAGTAGCAGAACTGCCCTGGCCAGTGTGGCTCAGTTGGTTGGGCAGCATCCCAGGCACCGAAAGGTTGTTGGTTTGATTCCAAGTCAGGGCACATGCCCAGGTTGGGGCCTCGATCCTCCGTAGGGGGCGGGCAGGAGGCAGCCAATCAATGATTCTCTCTCATCAGTGATGTTTCTCTTTCTCTCCCTCTCTCTTCCCTTCTCGCTAAAAATCAATAAAAATATTTAAAAAGAAAAAAAAGTAGCAGAACTTCAAGTATAAGACCTCTCCCAGGAGAAAACAGCAACAGATTTACATTGACCCACAGCACCCCCTGGCCTGTTGACTTCTTCTCTTTCTTCCCCTAGTTAACCAGCAGAGCAGCAAGCACTTCTCTGTGAAACTGTGTGAGTGATTCTAGAGGGACAGAAAAATACTAATTCTACTGGAGTGTTGCAGGATCCAGAAAGTGACTTCTGTTTCCGGCGAAGCTGAAAAAAGGCAGTGTGTTATGGCTGGGTCTTTGCGCTCTTTACCCAATACCCGATATAAAACAGGCGACGCTTGCTACCATTTCTATACTGAGTCATTGCTTGTAGGGGATGTACCAGGCTTAGGTTCCCGTGAGCCTCTGCCATGACATTTTCTCAACTGATCAATATATAACCTTGTTTCTGTTTAAAGGCACCTTACTTAATATTATTGGTTCACTAACATTGAACTCATGATACTGTAATTCATGCCTCAGCAAGGCTTATCTAACACATGCATTTTCTCCGCAAGGCACATCACAGCTTTCTTGCACTTAGGAACACTAGACAGCACTTCAGCCGTATGCTTGGGGCCACTTTAAACTTCGAAATCACCAACAAAAACGACAAAAAGTGGAACAACAAGGTCACTCGTTTATAGTATGAAAGCTGAGCTGCAACAAGAAGGTAGAGCATCCCCTCAGCTGGGACTGTGCTCACGGGCACCTCAAATGCTTTGCTGCCTGTGTATGTCCATGGATGACCACGAAAGCACCACCAGCATTGATTTCGAGGTTATGAATAGATTCTTGAGTGGGCGTATTCACAAATGTCTACTGTATAATATGAAATAATCCCAATTATTGTGGCAGGAGCCCCCT